TATTCTCCCGGTGCAAACCTCAATAGCATGCCACGATACGATGCCGGAGCATTGTTTAACAAAACATTAAGCGCTGTTTTCTTTGGTGAAGCCCTACAGAGCGACATGCTGTTGTAGTAGCCAGAGGAAGCCATACTTAGAATCAGATCTTGTTTAGTCTTTGTTTCATCATCACTTGACCAAACGATTTCAGCGTTAGTGAACATTGTTAATGTTTTTTCTGAGGTTACAGGATAGTTCACGGAAGGGTCTGCCATTTCCACCATGTTGTTTCGATCTGTACCTGCATAAAAAATATCGAGTCAGTATATTGTAAAAGTTATAATACAGTTCCAGTTGGACAGTAACTTTATTTACAAGTTCGTTTGTTGTTGTTGTTGTTGTTGTTGTTGTTGTTGTTGTTGTTGTTGTTGTTGTTGTTGTTATTGTTGTTGTTGTTCTCGTTGTCGTTGTCGTTGTCGTTGTTGTTGTTGTTGTTGTTGTTGTACTTTTTTGGATAATATTCATTCCTTATTTATTTTTTTGCACTGGCGCTCTTTTTGCAACATTGGAGTTTATCAGAATGCGGAATCATCCATGATTTCTGACGTCTTACCAGGTTCGAATAAGCCTTTGCATGAAAAAATTGATTTAAATGAAATAATTCAAAATAGAAAAACAAAACTACAAAAACAGAGTTGAATTTGTAGTAATTTACAAGTATAATGTTTCAAAAACTGTCTATTTTTTCAGCAGTTACAATACATCATTCAGTTAAACATACCTGCAGTTCCTTGCCCGGCATAATTCTTAGGGTTTGTATTTGATCCTTTGAAAGAAGGAGATGGTCATTTTGAGATTTGTTGTCTACTATTATGGGTAATATAAAATTATGAGTGTTGTAAAAAATGCACAGGAAGCAAATCCGACATATAAATACGTGTAGATAATTACGCAAGCAAAAAAAGGTATGCATGGCCCAAGTTATACTTAGCAGAAATTGTTACCTCCAATATGGGTAATCATAGTAAAAGTAGAAGATTCGTCATTTGCGTGGGGCGCACGTCAGATTTTCGGAAGCTGCCTACTTTCTGGCTTAGTACGTGATTGTGATTGCAAAGTATGCAATGGTGTAATCGGTAGAGAGTCAAGCTGATGAAGATGACTACAAAATGCTCTTCACTATTTCAAGCACGAAACGCAGACGCAATTATTTTATTTCTTACTTCATAAAGGCCACACAGCCAAATAAAGTTGAGAAGAAATTTTAAGAGTAACTCTTATACTCACCAGTCCACTGGATATGCAAAAGACTTGCGCTGGTAATATTCAATCGCTTGGGGATAAAGTCGTATTCTACAGCTGGATACGTTTGCACGATGTTCCCTCGCTTTCCGCGTACGTTCAGATTATAGATGACGTCATAATCTGTCACACCTTTAGGTCTGGGTAGGAGCTTGAATAAATGAGATCGATCTTGAAAAGTACGTCCAAATTGAGCGGTGTTGATGGCAAGTTGTAATGGCAGCTGAACATGACCAACTTTTACTTGTGGATTGTTTTGGACGGGAGAAATTACACCGTTATTCCTTATAAAGAAATGTTCGAGAACAAAACATGTTTCAGTAGTTATTGGTTTGGCAGTTTTGGAAAACAATATGAGAACAGAGTTAGACATATAAATTAAATGTTGTCAACAAATTTCAAAATATTTTCAATTATGCACTAAAAAGGACAGGTGGTCTAAGTAAGCACGTTTCATCTTAACTCAGAGTTATGCATGTTATTAAGATCGTGTGTTAGGCTAAAACTATAGTATAAAAACTACACTTATTTACGTTAACTTTGCATGTAAATGCTAACTTGGGAGTTAATTTGATGATTTCCAAACTGTATTTAGAGATACATGCTTGACTCTTGTCTCACTAAATATATGAATTTTATATTCTTCCAGGTCAGAGATATCTCTCTTCTCCTTTAAGTTTTGTTCTTGAATTTGCTCCTTTGTTTGTCACTCCTACTTTCATACCTACTTTTTAATTAACAAATCATCTTAATTTTTCTCACAATATGGTTGGCTGAGTTAATTATATAACTTTCCAAACTTAAGTCAAGAAGCATCCAAATTACAAACCCATACACGACTATGATTGTAATCGTACAAATATACTTACGGATTATTATTTTCATCACTAAATGTGTTAAATGGTGGATAATCCCCCGTGGAAATATTGTACCTAAACAAAGAAATTAGGAGAAATAGGTATTTTACCATCGCATAATGGATCCGAATGATTATGGCAAAACTGAAGAGACAGTATAATGTAAGAGACATTATAATATAAGAGGGATATAACAGACGATTTGATTGGCTAATGCGCGTGCATTGTGATGCAATAATGCACTGTGATCATTCTGTAGCACTGCTTTGCTCTTTCTCTGTTTTTTCCCCGCTTCATCTCTGCTTTTTAGCCAAAAATATTAACAAAACTATAGAGCTTTTAAAATGCAAAATTTACCAGAAAGCAAGAAGGAATAGACCAAAGGAACAAAGCAATTTTTTATAGTTCTACGTGTAGAATAAACCGGCTTGGTATTCGTCGAATTTGTTGTTGTCTCGACAAGTTTTGGGTAAAAGCGTACAAAATAGTCGGGGGAAAAACTTGAAAAAGATACAGCTGGAAGATCAAATACATACAAAAAGGCAACAAAAACTGAATACAAGTGATTTAGAAAGTACCTTCAATTCTTCTGATAATAACTGCTAGATATATTTTCGGCGAAAGATAAAAAATACAATAATTTCGAAAATTAAAACTGAGTTTACACGCGACGAAACCTACGATTTATCGTCTTTCATGGCAAATCCAGCAGCCCAGATGCTGAAAAATTTTGGCAAGTTAGTCTGTGTGTCACTGCTTTTTTTATTTCCACTATTTTAAACAATTTTTCCGGCTTTATAAGACCAAAAGTTTGTATATTGTTTTGGCAATTTTGCTCCTTCCCTCGCTTAAAAATTAAGCAACAGTGAATGAGTAAAAGCATGCGCGTGACGTCACTGAGTACATGTAAGGAGAATTTCAACGTCGATTTTTTGAGTAAAATTGTTTACTATGTAATATCTTCTACTTATATTATAAAAGAAATAGAAAAACTCGTCTCGTGCGTTTATTGTTCGATAATGCACTTGGGGAATGTTGGGAGAATACTCGAGAAGCGTGTAAAACACTCGGCTACGCCTCGTGTTTTACACGCTTCTCTCGTATTCTCCCAACATTGCCCGCGTGCATTATCACACCATAAACGCACGCGACTCGTTTTCTATTTCTTAAATAAAATGTACTTGTTTTTCCAGATACAAAAAAAGTCTTCCAGAATCTTTTAAATATTACAAAATGCATAAATTTTTATTTAATTGTATCTGAATGAAATTTTCAATAAATGGTCGACATGGTCTTATAATTTAATTAAAACAAAGATTTCATTCTGCCCCAGCCGGCGCAATTCAACGAAAAAGTCAGAAAATATTTTGTCTTTTCCTAGTTCAATGTTCATCCAAATTGTACTAAACTACGATCAAATTGGTCTTTATTTACCAGAGACGTGCTGGCTAGGAACGAGCCGACGAGAACTTGTTGTGGGCCCCATGCCATCATATGGGTTCATAAATTAAAACATTGGAAAAGAAAAAAATATAAATTTTAATTTTTAAAATCAAAATTAAGATACTAACAATTTATATTTTAAAAATATAAATTCACGAAAATATTACCGACAAATACGGTCATTAATTCGAAAGTGACTGAAAAATGGTATGCCCGGAATTTTGTTACTACACCCCCTCCCCCTGGGCCCCATCAAACGTTGCTCATTCGTCGTCCTTTTCATGACCCCAGCACGTCCCTGATGGAAACAAACCAACGATGATATATAATCAAACTATCGCAACTTCATTATTTTAACTCATATATCTTGGGTTTCAATTGCAAAGTTAAGCTTATCTTCCAATAAAAAATATCAAATGATATGCTTACTATTTTATTTAATTTTGAAAAATTCATGAAAGCTGAGTAAGACGATATTAAATTAATGAAAAATTCACAACATTAACAATTATTGAATGAGGTCGAATAGGATATGAGGAATTATATAAAGGCCGTGGTTTGTGTTATCTTAATTCCTCATATCCTGCGAGAACCGAATTCAATAATTGTTTTATTATTTATTCGTAAATATTTCGGTCTCAAGAAGACGTCAAGGCGCGGAAAATGAAAATTTGTATTTTCAACCTTTTGGCATAAGCCGCATAAATTAACTTGACGTCATAGCGTTTTTCATTGTTTTTTCAATATACCACGAAATTACATCAAACGTCAGTGGTATATTTGTTTTCAATATTCCACGGTGATGTCATAGCTGCAAATTTGGGCAACTACCGAGCGGATATGAAGATTTCACCGATAGCACTTAGCCAACCAAAACTCTTGAATTATTTTTGATAAATAATAATACTATTTATCCATCAGGTTCTACACAATCTACAGTGATTAATATATTACATACCTATAGTTCCTTTAGTAAATTTTATCAAAAACCGCAAAGTAAACCATGTCACAAAATCAAGCACACTCTCACAAAGAGTGTGTGTGTGTGTGTGTGTGTGGGGGCAAGGATTCATATTGAGCACATACAAAGCAAAACAGGATTAACGCACTGCTATGTATATGGACATTATATTTGTGTATATTAAGTGTACCATTAATTATCCTTGCAGTTCTGATGATATTGTGGTACAGCGAAAGCTTAACTCAATTCTAATAAATCAAACAGTCAATAACTATTCAGCTTTATTTGAGTTCCCCCTTTAACGTTTAAATTTTAATATTTAACACGCTACTAACTTCTTTTCTTAATAAACGACATTTCTTTCTTGTCTTTACTCTTTCAACGTACTTATGTTGATAGAGTGTTTATTATCAACATAAGTACGTCGAAAGAGTAAAGACAACAAAGAAATGTCGTTTATTAAGAAATTTTGTTCGAACTCTTTCCTGGCTTCGATGAATGAACTTTCAGGACGACGCTACTAACTTCATTCAATGAGTATGCTGTGTTTAACGACGTTTTTCACGTGGTCTTTTCCCGAAATGTCCGCTACTCAAACTCTATTAACACACTCATATGAGTATAACTAATAGCATGCAGAAATAAGTATGTAAACCTTACAACTAACCTTATTCTCAGGACGCATCTTTGTACATTACCAGACGGAAAATGTGGAATAACCCAAGTGTAACGGATAGGAACCACGTCACGGGCATTTCCTAAATGGTTTGATCTTGTATATGGAGCTTTGGTGCATTCTGGTGGGTCAAGTGCGACCAAACAACGTTTTAATGATTCTACTTTATTACCAGTCATTTTTAAATTATCAATATCTTCAGAGCGGTAAGGAATGGCCCAAATAAGCCGAAGTTGGCTAGAATTTGCAGCTTTACACTCTTGTTCTGTTTGATGCTTGGGAGATTCTTCTAAATAGTTGCTGAAAGAAATCCAGTAGCCTCGATTCTTTTCGCAGTCAATTTTGTTGTTATAAGCCGAGTCATGGCGGAAACCATCTGGCTTATAACTGTAGTACTGAAGACATTCTCCTGGGAACAAAGAAATGAGAACTTTTAGATTTAATGATTGCATGTTAACATATTATTCATTTTCTCATTTTTATCCCCGAGCCGACGGCGCAAAGCGCCGTGCGAGGGTACTAATCCCCCCCGGCTATTTACACCCGGGGAAACGATAGCATTAGCCAAGTCTAAAGTTCATCAATGAGCGCGGGCGTGTATTATCGTGAGTGGTGCGGTGGGTGGTCATCCTCACTGATCTCAAAAATTGGGCGGACTGTCATGAATAGCGAACACTGATTGGTCCAATTTAAAGTTTGCATTATATCGACTGCATTACGACAGCGAAATAGCAAACATTTCTTGATTTGATGATTGATAAATTTCTTGCGAATATATTTCATTTTTGCTCGCCTTTTTGCAAGATTTGGTAAATTTTAAGAAAGAAAGGGCGAAAGAATCGGCTAAGAGAAGGGAGCCGACGTTAACGAAGGTAATTTTGTTTTAATTATTAAATATTGATTTCATAATTGCTTTAAAACCCGACGGCCTTTGCGTATATGAAACAACTAAACAAGACAGCATATAATTTCAGTGTATCTTTAATATTGATTCCCATTTTATTATATTTAATGTTTTAAATAAAAAAGAAAGCAAGGTTATTTGCATGCGATAATTTGAAATCATTTTATTACAAACTCAACGTTTATCGATAAAGCCATTTCATTAATACGTTTTGCGAAGCGTTTGTGGTTGAACTTTACCTTAAATTGAAGCTTATATTACGTATAATATCATACCTAACATATATACGTTGGGAAATTGACGCTGATTTTGTAATTAAAAGTGATATTTTAGGCGAGTTTTCATTGGTAAGAATAATTATAAAAAATATCGTGTTACCATGACAACAACTTTAGATACTTCATGTTCGGAAAATACAATGGTTTTGTCAGCAAGGCGAGGGTTTCTGCATGCATGTATTTTCTAGTTTAAGGTGGCTCAATACACTTTTTAGCCAAAGGAGCAAAAGTTTAATATTTTCTGTTTAACTTAAATGCTTCTACAGGGTTAAGTTTCACTTATAATTGTAACACATAGTAAGACGTGTCGCAAACAAGAAGAATTCTGATAAAAGTCGCGTTTCCATGCCAACTATAACGAATAATGGTAACACTAAATAGCCGAAATAAATCAGTTGCGTTAGTGTCGAGAAACATTTCTTGGAAATTTAAAAAAAATCTGCCGACCCAATTCTTTAGAATTAAATTTCGGCTTTTTTGACAGTTTCTGTGGACATTTTTTTTTATTTTTCCATCATGAAATCTTGAAGTATGTATCTACTCATGTACAAATTTCTACTCATTTACAAAATTCAGGGTACTTACCGAACTCGTTTTGGAAATAATCACGGTTTTATTCCGCGCGGTCAAAGTTTTTCACACTCTGCAAGATCAATGAATTATGCGCGTACATGTTTTCGCAGGCGCATCTCCAGAAAAACACGCACAAAAAAGTTTTTAGTCTCGTCGAAATATCAAATATATGTTGTGTTTTCTTGCTTAAAAATGCAAATATATTTCGTTTTGCATGCTAACTCGGGATAACGCCAAGAAAACAGGTGATTGTCGGTCGTTTGGTATAAGATATGTGTGACATGTATGAACTTTTGGCTTTTCTACATAGTTTAATATTCGTTTTCAGGCGTATAAGTGTGTGTTTTCATGTTGTTGTTGACAATTGAAAACAGTTTGAGCCGGCGCATGATGATATTTCACTGAATTCCTTCGCTGTTAGTAACACTTTGAATACATTTACCAGTTGTAAGTACAAAAAAACTCAGGATATGAACTTATAAATCGCCAAATATTGGAGTAAAAAACTTTTCGCCGGTCGGGCCGATCGCCGGTTTTCACAAGAGTTTGAACGTTGAACATTGCATTTTTACCTTAAAATGTCTTCTAAAATGACTAGTTATTCAATGTATACTAAAACTGTCTGTACCAGTGTTGGTAGTACCAAAGTGAAAATGCTGTGCTGAGTGGTTATATTACTGCCTTAAAAATAAGCAGAAACTCGTCGTTTCGTTTCTAACTCTTGACGAATGGCCTTCGCTCGAAACGTCAAGTTTTTGCTTATTTTTTAAGGTAGTAATATAACCACTCAGTACAGCATTTTTAGTTATTCAATGTTCAGGGCTAAATCAGGACGAAGTTTGTTCTTTGAGAACAAATGAGAACAAAGAAGACTCAAAACATCAAAATAAACATGACTTGTAGTTCGGATTTTAGACTGAAAAAGTTGTATTTATTTAATTTTGCATATATTTTTAACCGTTTCGCGCGAAAACTCAAGATCAGGTACCAGTCCCCCGATGACGAAAAGTGTATGAAGCCACCTTAAGAAATAGAAAACCAGTCGCGTGCCTTAATGGTTTAATGGTGGTATTAATACATGAGGGGAATGTTGGGATAACAGGAGAAAATTCTGTGAAATACGGGGCGTATTCGAATGTTTAGTTGCTTTTCGAGTGTTCTCCCAACATCGTCAACGTCACGCACATGCTTTCACTCAACGTGAAAGAACGAAAACATTATACGTTTTGGAAGTTAAAAAACTGGAAAGAAATGTTCAGAAACTTTTAAAAAACTCTTATTCAAGCTGGATTTTGGTCGAGTTGTTGTGTTTAATTTCATTTGCTGCTGAAATTACCAATACATTTTTCGTGTATTGCCGAATTAGATATTCGAGCAGTTTCAATTTAAAGCATTTATTAAGGTACTTTTCTAATAAACATTTGGTCAACTTTTGTAGTTCTTTTCTATAATGCTTTTCTTAGCTAGTTTAATTCAATCAGACTTAAAAACAACTGTGAATATTTCTTTGTTTTTTTATCCTGTTATCTCTTGTTGACTGCTTCTAATAAACTTTGGATTAAAACTGCACTGTGTAATTCCGTTCGTGTTATTTTGCCAATTAGAAACAGGAAATGGAGCAAGAAATACTGAAAAACCAAGTCAGTGCATTATGGCGTTGTAATGCACACGGATTAGCCAAACAAATTACATGTTATATCCCACTTCTATTATAAATTATATAATACGATTTTAACCTGCTTCTAATGAATATATGTATTTATTATAAACCTACTAGTAGGCTATCATATTTCGTGCGTTCTGATTGGCTGCGCTACTAGTAGGCTATTAGTGATAGCCTACTAGTAGCAACAAGCGGCGAAGGACGCGAGAGTCAATGGTCGTTTTAAAGTGCATTTAAAGGGAAAAAGATTATCAAAATGGCCTAATTTTGTTCTGGATTACACACAATCAAAGACTCTTGGAAACTGCTCACACATACGGTAAAATGTTTACGTTTTCTCAATTTTGCTTGTAGTTTTGAACATGGAAGTGACAGGCGATTTTTTCAAAATATATGCACTGCAATGTTTGTTAATATTCCAAGCAGAATCGTTGAAATTCAACAATACTTTGTAGCTACTTACCCCTATTTCCTCAACCTTTTAGGGACTGATTACATGGACAACTTTCAACCACGGGGTTGAACTTAGCCCTGTTAAGCGGGTTGAAATTTTTTGCGATTACATGGACGATTTCAACCCCGGGGTTGAAACGCTATACTATACGTTCTCGGTATCGATTCCCGGAAGTAAAAAAGCCTTTATTTTGTTTTCTTGTAATAAATAATCACTACCACGTATGCTCGAATAACTCATGATATTTCAGCCCTGGTTTGAAACGATTACATGACAAAATTTTCAACCCAGGGCTGAGTTCAATCCCGGGGTTGAAATTTCAACCCTGCTAGCTGAAGCAGGGTTGAAATTTCAACCCCGGTTTTTGTTTATGTATACTGGCTAGATGATGGAATAGTTTGCCTCTTTATGTTCCAGATATTTTAAAGATTTCAACGACATTCGGATTCTTTTGTGTGCATTTTTATTCTGCTTTTTAACGTAAATTTTATTTAGTAGCTTTATAGACTAAATTTTGATCTAGACAAAAATTTCATCACAACTTGAAAGAGCATCAAAAAATTAGTAATATCCCAAAATGTTGTAAAATGCGGATAATATAGCCATGCGAAGTTTGCCGTTTTTCAGTCATTTTGCATTACGCACGGGAAATTGACAGCCCAATCGGGTGTTGGGGCATCAATTTCCCGTTTGTAATACAAAATGACTGAAAATTGCAAATTTCGCAAGGCTATATTATCAGCATTTTACAACATTTCGCAAATATTACTAATTTTGTGATGCTCTTTCAAGCTGTGATGAAAGTTTTGTCTAGATCAAAATTTAGTCTAAATGCAAATGGTCCATTCGGGAAGCCATTTTGTGTTCGAAATTTTGGACTTTTTAAGCCTTGTTTCCTTGAGTTCCTTTAATTAGCCAAATTTCGTTTGTATAACGGCCCCTTACTATTATGCTGTTTTACGACATGTTTTTTAACTTTTTTGAAACTCACAAGTTATATTTTTCAAGTCATTCTTGGGAGTTCGCAGCACTGAGTAGTTGTCAACAAGGCCGAGGCGTAATGTCGCCAAATTAAAGGAAACCATTTAAACGCTCATTTCGTTAGAAAATTATTATTTTACATAAAAATCAAGTGAAAAATTCCGTTTTCTTTATGTGGTTTATACTAAAACAATTAGACAACTCAGGCTCGTTGTCTCTGAGCAAAATAATAGTCAACTCGGCTTCGCCTCGTTGACTATTCGCTCATAGACAATTCAGCTTCGTTGTCTAATTGTCCCCGAGCCGGCGGCGCGAAGCGCCGTGCGAGGGTACTAATTCCCCCCGGCTATTTACACCCGGGGAAACGAAAGCATTAGCGAAGTCTAAAGTTCATCAATGAGCGCGGGCGTCGGTCACCAACGATGGGTGGTCATCCTCACTGATCTAAAAAATATGGCGGACTGTGATGAATAACGGACACTGATTGGTCCAATTTAAAGTTTGCATTACAACGACTGCATGACGACAGCGAAATAGCAAACATTTCTTGATTTGATGATTGATAAATTTCTTGCAAATATATTTCATTTTTGCTCGTATTTCTGCAAGATTTTGTAAATTTCAAGAAAGAAAGGGCGAAAGAATCAGCTAAAAGAAGGGAGCCGACGTTAACGAAGGTAAGTTTGTTTTAAATATTGATTTTATAATGGCTTTAAAACCCGACGGCCTTTGCGTATATGAAACAACTAAACAAGACAGCATATAATTTCAGTGTATCTTTAATATTGATTCCCTTTTTCATTATATTGAATTTTTTAAATTATAAATAAAGCAAAGTTATTTGCAAGCGAGAATTTGAAATAATTTTATTGCAAACTCAAATTTATCGATAAAGCCATTTAATAGTTAAAGGCAGTTTAGACTTTAGTTTTATAAAGAACACTTTAAAACGTTTTGTGAATTGTTTGTGGTTGAATTTTACCTTAAATTGAAGCTTGTATTACGTATGATTACATATCTAACATATATATGTTGGGAAATTGATAATTTTGTAATTAAAAGTGATATTTTTAGGCGATTTTCATTTGTAAGAATATTCTTAAAAAATTATCGTCTTACCATGACAACGACTTTAGATACTTCATGTTCGGAAAATACAACGGTTTTGTCAGCAACGCGAGGGCAAAGATTAGACACTATAAAGATGTGTCACTCTGCGAAAATTATGTCCGAGATTTTTTTATAGCCGCCATTTTGCCAGTAAGTGTCAAATTCGTCAAAATTCGTCATATAGCGCGAGCATCGCGATGGCAACCTATTGTATTCAGTCTCGCCGCCATTTTGACAGTAAGTGTTATGCACTCGTCATCTCGCGTGATCACTCGTGATCAGCACGGAAAATTACGGACACGCAAACATTAGGGAAATACGTCGAGTGACACATCTTTATAGTATCTAATCTTTGGCGAGGGTTTCTGCATGCATGTATTTTCTAGTTAAATACCTTTGGAACAGACTGCAAACTTACCTTCATTCTCAGGGTTCAAATTTTCTGATATTCAATAAATACTGACACATGATTTCATTACGAGCAAACACAAAGCCAGGTTAATTATATAACGATATAAGAAAAGATAATAACAGCTGTAGTTATTCAAGACTAACCTTTAGTTTTGACATTAAAACTTTCTTCCTGATAATATTGACACATCGTTTCATTATGAGCAAACACCGCTATATCAATCCAGTCAGTTGGATGCCAGTAAGGATAGTAATCTCGTTCCTCTGGGCATTCATAGCCACTACGAGCACCATTTGCATTTTGACGAGTGTAAATGCTTGTCTGACCATTCAGTTTTTGATCAGCTGTGAATAGTCCTGTCAATTAAGAGAAAGAAAATTCTTAATGAAACTGTGGTTCGTAAACAAATGGAATTTCGAAATCACGCACAGGTATTAGTATAGGTAATCATTCGATGGCGAGTACAATTAGGGATTAATAGTACGAGTGATTTTGTAAGTTTTGCCAGAATTGGACGAGCAGCCGGGGCGAGTCCAATTTGGCAAATTTCCAAACATCACGAGTACTATCAATCCCTAATTGTACGAGCAACATCGCATGATTACTTGTTTATTATTAGCATGATAAAATTGGATACTTCTCCGTCAAGATCATATTCTCTCGCCAAAGCTCAGTCCTGCTAGACTTTCAACCAAAATTGGGTAGTTTTGTTCGTATTTTTATTTAGTTCTTTTGTTAAAGCAAAATTTGGTGCTTTTGTTCGTCTTTCATCTAGTTCCTTACGGGAAATTTCATTTCACATTTGTGTTCAAAATACCTTTCCGCCATTTTGTTTGTTTTGGAAAAGTCATTAATTGTACTGCAGTACAATTAATGAAATTAATCATTGTACTCCTCTCAACCAATCAGCATCCAGTAATTTTGTCATGCTAATAATATATCTTGTTCCTTCCAGATTGTTAGCCTGTTGCTCTTCCATGTGAACAATAGAGTATTTGTATATACGCTCAATCATGGTTTCAACAACTGTGCATGCTATAAAGACCATACAGTCGAGAAGAAATGAAAACAAAGCTTAAAAAGTGATGGTAGAAAATTTTGTTTGGCAAAAAGTAGGAAGGAATTGTCGGGAGAAATGTATCTTCCCGAATAGCTGAGGACTGCAAAATACACCCTAAACACAATTAATTCTTTTAATCGGTTGGAAGGTTTTGCGATTCAGAAAAAAAGGACAAATAATTTATGTGACAAAATAAGATATTCATCAATCTATAGGATAAGAAAATGCTTAAACCTTACTTAAGGTTAATTTAAAAGATACGACAGAGACATTCAAGTGAATGTGGAAGATGATGCGAAAATTCAGAAGATAATTCTTCACGGTATTCAAATTAGATTGAAACAAGTACTAGTAAGGATATTATTGCTTGTACGAACTAAGATTGCGCTCGGTTTGTACATTTCCATAACGCATGGTATTGTTATTGAAAACTTTGGTATCTGAAATAAATCAAATAATTTATCCCGCCCGTAAAAGTTTTAAAAAATCTCCATTGTATTTACTTGAATATACCTGTCGAGTTCGCACAGCGAGCAAATCATTTCACATGTGAGAAAATCATAATTTGCTGTAATGAACGTTAATTTTCGATTTTAAAACCCCTACAAATCAGGTGTCTAGTACAGATTCTGTCACAGTTCAATCAAAGAATTGCTCCCTTCCATTAGAGGCTCGCTCTGCGTAATTTCAAATTATTATACCGAAAACCCTAGCTAGAAAACTCTCTGAAGTTTCTGAAACCCAGCTGTTTCGGTCCCGCTTGAACCCACGAGGCTTATATATTGTATTTACGTGAGAAAGATTTCTTCGGTTTATTTAGAAACAGCAAATGAAATGTTGCATGCGAAGCCAGCGAAGGTATAATGAAATTATTTAAATAAACGCTCATGCATGCTTGTAAATCTTTCAATTTTTTCTACATGTTTGTTTAATTTGAGCCTGAAGTAGAGTGTACACTATATACTAACGGAATTAGACAATTCGGCCTCGTTTTCTACCGCTGTTCGCTCAAAGACCGCGTCTCGTTGCCCAGTTCAACAATTTCTAACATATAACAACATGATTTTTTTTTCTGTGTTGGTGTAGTGTACTCAGGTGAATATGATATTTGTGGTGTTACTCTGAGTGTATATCCACACCGGGCGAGCTTGAAAAATATGCCCGGCCACGGTGGGATTCGAACCTACGACCTTTGGAATACTAGCCCAATGCTCTTCCAACTGAGTAGCCTGCGAACAGGCTCTCAAGCTGAATTGAGAGCCTGCATCGATGACTAATGAATTTGAATATCTGCGTCTCAAATCGTGACGCGAAATTCTCATTGGTCAGATGCTGTAATTTATATGTTTCCGCTGAGCTCTATATATGTCAACTGCTCAGCAGCACTATGCATAAAGTCCATAAAAAACACATTAACTGATCAAATTGGTCTTGGCCGTCTTATATCAAAGCACGAAATGTTCTGTTTTGAGAAAACAGTATTTAAAACATTTGAACTTTCGCTTGAATATCTTATATTTCGAAAAACTGTATAAACGGTACGGTCTAAATTTAGTTTGCACGGTCTAAATTTAGTTTGCATGAAAGTTGTAAACAACACAATATAAGGATAGACATTCCATATTTGGAAAAACGAACGTTACGGGACAGATATTCAAATTCATTAGTTATCGATGCAGGCTCTCAATTCAGCTTGAGAGCCTGTTCGCAGGCTACCAACTGAGCTACGCGGTCAGGACGGTTCGAGTAAGTGATATTTCGGAACAGAATCTAGTTCCTTCGATACCAATGTATTCTAGTAATATGAATTTTTTCTGTGTTGGTGTAGTGTACTCAGGTGAATATGATATTTGTGGTGTTACTCTGAGTGTATATCCACACCGGGCGAGCTTGAAAAATGTGCCCGGCCACGGTGGGATTCGAACCTACGACCTTTGGAATACTAGCCCAATG